AACGAGTAGAGTGAGTCAGTTGTGATCAAGGTACCGACAGAGTTAGACTCGCGTAAAGAAGCATAAAAAACTATCGAATTCTGAACCTCCGCCGGACAAAGCCACTGTACGTAGGTGTCGACATCAAGTTGCGTTCAGGTCAGTGTTGGTGTTCTGGTAGAACACAAGCCGGTTGACAGAATCAATGAATGAAAGTCTGTCAGCGCATTAGTGGCAATCCTCCCACTGAAGCTACAACAAGCATAAGCTCTGACCTTGTTACAGCTCCCGCGCCAAATCTGGAGGAGGAACTTCCTGCCGAGTATGGAATCCTTTGTTTCATTGGAAGATTTCACTGCGAATTTCAGGGCAGACACCTGAAAAGTGGAAAGGCGTGACTGGAAAGGACGGCCCTAGCGACCTCAAGAAAAACAGCATGAAATTGTTGCGGTTATATGCAAACAGCCGACTGACCGTTATAAACGCCTTCTTTGCGCATCGAAACGTGTATCGGCATACCTGGTATAGGGAAGTTTATGCAAGAAGTCAATGATCGGTATGATACTCGCATCGTCTAACTTACGAAGGTCTGTAACAGCTCTGCTTGCGTTAAAAGAGGCGCAGAGCGGTCAACCGATCGTCATCTTGTTGTTGGCATCCTCTACTGTTAACATGAGATACAATGAGAAGACCCAACGGCAGAAGCAGCCGGAGAATTAAATGGGAAGCATTATCTTCAGCGGATACGAGGGCAAACCTGCAAACATCGCAAAACTGTTTGAACAGATCCCAGTGGTGATCACTGATGTGGAAACCGAATGGAAGCTCTTTAAAAGCGGGGTTGCCGCCGAAAGTTGTGGTTTGAAAGGGGCTGGCTTATAGTCTAGAAGTCAGAAACGAACTTCTTGACGGACACCAGAGGTTCAACTGGCTGTCATCGAAACGAGGGTTGCACTGATGAGAAGGCTTAGAAACAAACAGCGTTAAACTCCCATGCAGTACGAAAAGCGCGCAAGATAGCAGCGAACGCAGTGGCCAAAGTGAAATATGATTTCTGGGAGAAGTTCGATGAGGTGTTGGAGCCGAATTTCCAGACGGCAGACACGGTATTTTGGCAGACCATCCGTCAGCTCCGATGTGAAAAGAAGAACAGTCTAAGAGTCTTGAAGGACATGTCCGGATACACCCATACCGAGGATAAGGATATCTTTGGCGAAGAGAGAGTACTTTTAGGAACTCCTTAGCCCCGAGCAACCGCAGGAAAACTCGCTTGTAGAGTAGAAGGGAACAGATATTACTATTTCTGTAGATGAAATTACACAAGTTGTGAAAACCTTGAAAAGTGGAAATGCTGCTGGAACTGATGAAATTCGTCCTGAAATGCTTAAAGCAATTGGCGAACAAGGCATGTGCTGGATTAAAATTGTCTGTCAAACTGCAACAACTACGGGGAAGACTCCAAGAAACTGGATGATGGAGGTGGTAGTAGCCCTGTTCACGAAGGGAGACCATAGGTAATGCTCCAACTATCGGGGCATTACGTTACAGAACCTCCCAGGTAAAGTCCGCGCAAAGCTGCTCGAAAGGAGGTGCCGCCAATTAACTAACCTCAAGATACAAGAAGATCAGTGTGGCTTCGGGTTCGGCCGAAACATTTCTGAACACATATCTGCCCAGCACCAGACTGTCGAGAAATCGTGGGAGTACGCCCGACCGGTGTACACGTGTTTTTTTGACCTACAGAAAGACTATGACCGGATTCCATGCAACAGTCTGTGGTCATGCCTTCGAGCATACGGAATAGATGATCAGCTGCTAAGGGCCATCCAAGTGCTGCGTCAGAGTAAATCGCGTTGAGTCAAATATTGAATTTCCCGGGTAAAGCCTACGCAAAGACGTTTGAAAGGAGTTGTTGCCATGGAACAACGTACTCCAAAATAAATACATTTCAATACATAACCACTTCCCAACCGGCGAAGCACATCCGACCAGGTATACGCCCTACGCCAGACTGTTGAGAAACCATGTGAATTCGCTCATCCGCTTTGTAGTTGCTTTGTGGACCCAGCGAAACCCTATGACCAGATCCCGTACAACAATCTATGGGAATGTCTGCGAACATGGACAGTTCGGCCATCCAATCAATATATGATGATAGCAGGTGCAGGTGCAAATGGCGTTAAGTCGAAACCTTTCAGCGCTGGCACTGGTACCCACTACGGCTGCGTTCTGTCGCCTATTTTGTTTGTGTTGTACATTAATAGAATAGTCACGCGCAGTCAAGGTGAGGAGTGTATCAATGTAGGATATGTCCAGACGAGAAAGTTGCTGTCTGCAGTCGACCTTGTTTTGTTGGCAACGTCTGACGCTGATCTCAAGCGCCCTCCGGAAAAAATCGTGGCCGAGTGCGATTCGTGCCTGGCGCTGGCAGTCTTGTTTATCGGAGCAATAAAACTGTCGTCCATCGTTGAGCATCTAATGTCTTTAGTCTTGTAGACAAGCCTTTAAAGCTACAAGGATGTTCAGTTCGTAACGCACTGGATATGGGTAGCCTCATCCAGTTTATCATTCCCGTTCAACATTCGCGTCTTTTAGCAGGGGATTAACAACTTCCTTTTCAAGATGTTGAGTTTCAGCAAGCCAAAACTTGTGGTAATGTAGCTGAACCGTTTTGAGGAGGCAAACTGCTCATCGCAAGGGTGCTGCACACGATAAGCGAAATCAGGTGCATATTATCAAAATTAGCAAGGGAACAATATCCTACTGCTCTGGCGCCAACGCACTATGTAAAAAACATGGCGAAATGGAAGAATGATGTAATACGACACCATTCTATCCAGGGCTTACGTATTTCAACTACAAATTGAAATCGGGAAACAGACAAATGTCCATATGTGACAGATGTTGAGGCCAAACAGTTCACACTTGCTAATAAGCTAATTTGTGGCAGCCGAACATATTAGGCTTCATCCAAATGCGAAGTATAAAAAACGAAGGAATTAGACCAAGGTAAGTCTGCGATCCGCAGGGAATTCTTCTGGCACTGCAGTAACCACGGATTTTAAGTTAT